GTAATTCATGTCGATTCGGTGCAACGTTCGTGGTGAATCACCAGTTATCCGATTTTTCCCACAAACTAAAGATAAAATGACAGCAACCAGATTATTTAACCGTAAATCATATAATTTAAATATGTAACCTAAACAATTCTTGTCCCTGCCTGTATAACTTGTGTGTCCTACATTTGTAGGAATAAATATGTACCTTATTATATTATAATTACTAACTATACTTACTAACCGTATGTGTAATTTATCGAATTTATGATGCCTGTAAACTGGCGTCCCTCATGTACAAAAATGAGGATATACTATTGCGGTGAGAGCTGTCTACTAGCCAAATTGGTAGACAGTAATTTACGTCGATGTTTACGTTCCCAAGATTTGTCGTGAGAAAATGTGAACGAAGATTGATTCAAAACCGACCACCAATTTTCGATGTCAAAAAAACGGTGTTCCATTTCAAATTGCACTTGTCAAATATGATCATGCCTGTACAAACGGTATGTTAATCATGTAAATGCTTAATTTATGTGAAATATATATTATTATTTCACCATACCTAGGCTATGTCATTTTGACTGACTTCCAACATAGAAGCTTGCACGCAAGTGTACCTGTTCACGTTGCCACATTCCATGTAGCACACAAAGGTAGAGAATACGGAAATTAAATGGGGCTCTTATGAGCACAAAAGTGAGGGAGGGCAAACAGCGACAAAGAAGAAACTTTAGGGTTGATTAGCTATTTGAGATTACACAGAATGAATGCGTCTGTGCCATTAACAGCGATTTGAAGTCAAATCTCTACCTAACACTGTACGTCTGACCACAATATTACTCACCACATTAGACCACTTAACATAGGAGATAAGGCACAGACACATACAACCAAACACCAGTAATCTTTTCGCATCTCGCAGCTTCGATTTCACTTCTCAAAACCTAGCTGAACAATATCACCAGCAGACTCTCATTTGACGAGACTGCTCCCTGACAAGTCCCCAAAGTCAATGACAGGAAATTTTCATTAATATATGTATGATGAAATTGAATTATATAAGGATGACAGTTGTAGCAGTCAGCCTTGTATTATATCCTTCTTGGAAATACGAGTTCTCTCATCGTTTGCTTCAGTACTAATTGAAGAGGATGCAATTTGTAGAATTTGTAAAATTCACAAACTGACGCACTACCTTTTCAAAAAACCTAGTTCACGTTCCTCCAGAGATACGAGAAATGGGTCCTGTGTAAACTCAATAAATTGTGGACTGCTGACAATAAAAATGGCAACAATTCTTAGAATTACGAGTAATAATTTTAGTTTGATTACAACATACAGCAATTTTTAAATGCCCACTTGACGAAAATCAGATCTATACTGGAAGTGCATACGATTTAGTAAAACATATACACTTTCGATTTCATTCTGAGGCCTGCATGCCAGTTGTATTACTGTAAGGGCCTACACAATTCACAAATTAACTTATGACAATGGAGTGGGGAAACTTCCATTTGTCTTTACTGAACTTAATATAGATAGTCTTGTGCAGTAATCCCTGCGTTATTCACTTTTTTGTGCAGTAGAAGGAGAAAGATATTCGTAATCTTTTGCTACATATGAAATGGCAACGCAACTCGATGAGCAGTAGTATTTATACGGATAAAGTGAAAATAAATGTGAAAAATAAAACAACTCTCAAAATTCGCTGCGGGTCACATCACTTACCTTACCACATGCATCGACAGGTCCACCATGTTCCTGTAGCTGTGACACCCAGTGATATTACAGTCGAAATAGTAGCAAAAGCATTTTCAAACCTCGATAGCTATGTTTTGAATGACTATAATAATTAAAACTGACGTAAGGGCTCCATTCGAGCTACAGGCTGGTAATGATCGGCCTCAGAACATCAATCAAAACTGAAGCTTATTGTTCATCCATGTAAACGGTATTAGTAAATATACTTAAATGTGAGGCACCTTACAGGTGAGCTGGCCCTACGGGTTCTAACCCTCAGGATCTTTGAATTCACTTCTCACTGAAACATCACGCATCCATCTCCACATGCTATTACACTCTTATTTATCTAAACTACCTATGCCTTTATTAAAGCTAAAAATTACTCTTTTGTTCTTACTTGTTGCTTGCGTAAAGTCTGGTTGCTTTGGTGGAAAAGAAAAACAAAACAACAATAATGTTTGAACAAAGCTATATTTCCATCGAAACGTCGTAGTTTCCATCCTAAGACCAATATGGTTGGCATTAAAAATCGCAAATGTATACTATCATTCCAAGGAGTTTCCACCTCCTTCTTGTATATATCTTGTTAATGCACTTCCAACGATGCATTATCCATAATTGTATTTTGTGCCATTTTGCACTTTCCCATGACGTTCTCCTCGTTTTGAAATATCTTTTAATGAAGTGGCAACATAGCACTTACCCAAATATGCGCTGTTCACTGGTTGACCATAATTATCAGCATAAAAAACGGAACGAGGTTTGGGTTGTAGCTCAACTTTGATGGTGGAGGGTTGATAATTTGAAATTTATACGAACCTGTTCTGGTTGTGTGTACAATAATCCAAGGATTTGAACTTTTGAAAAACAATTAATTAGTGATACTTCACTATTGTTGCGTCCATGGCGTAGCGGTTAGGACGCTCGCCGACCATGCACATGGTCCGGGGTTCGATCCCCGGCCGGCGCACTCCTTTACCTCGCTAAGCCAGTAATACTGCTGGTGAAGAAGAAAGGTTGGGCATGAGACTAGCAGCCCCATCCTGTAAAATAAACACTGCTAAAGAAACTTAGAGCCTCTAGCTTGGAGCCCTATGTTCCCCTGGGGAACGTGAAGGAAAGAAAAAAACTTCACTATTGTGATTTATAACACAGCTGATAGTGCCTGTAGAACTGTCATTCATTTCTTGCAAACTTACCCGTTTATACGAAATTATTATTGTTATTATAATCATCTTGAGACTATCTGGCAAGTTTATAAGTCCAAGTGTTGATAGGAACAGGCTTGGTTAGGCCGCATATTTAAGACATAAGCTAGAAACAGTTAAATAAAGGCGGCATAAAAACCAACAACGTGGATTTTTACTCGCATGTATTGACGAGTTGTGATACAACCAGCTACCTCTCAGTCCCCTAGACGAAGAGACTTTCGTAGGCACTGGAGACACTGTGATTCAGAGATGTAGTAACATGGATCATTTTTGCAATGACAGATTAAAACTGGTCCATCTAGACAACGAATTGCAATAAATAGTGTCAGAAAGGCCCTCATAATCGGTAGTCGATATAGTTTTTACTCATGAAAAATTTCGGGAAAAACTGCAAAACGAATAATTAACGAATTAAATACAAGTAAATTTACTCGAAATCTAGTAAGAACACTCCGATTTATTTGAAAAGAAAGGAAAATATTGAAGAATACATGAAAAGTATCTAGTTCGTTTTTGATGGAAAACATTAGATCATCTTCAAAAACGTCATATTGAGTTTCATTTTGACTAAGCCTTTTTGGAAAATAGAAGTCACACTCCTCGATAAATGAAACTACACTGAGCCCAATGAAATGACCCATTAGTAATATACTCATGTGGGGTACGTAACCATATGATTGTACACCTTTTGTTAGATGTTGAAATTAGGGACACTGTATATAACTTTTGTTTAAAACGATTCATGTTGGAATATACATAACTTCCGAGTACCATCTAAAATAAAGTGTACTGTTGGTCGCTTCGTTTTCTCACTGGTCCATACTGTTTACTTGTTCACTCATAACCGAGTTGTGCACTTTTGATTTTTTTCAGGAACCTTTTATCCTCATCCGAAGACTATTCTACAACAGGTACACAGGCTCTACCACTAGACACGACTCCAGCAGTGAACGCCTGTAGTAGAAACAGTTAACTACATATGTGAACAAGTGGATAACCAGTCGGTAAACATTGGCATCCATACTGAAATCCTAACAGAATTGTTATTAAGGTGTACTATGAATGTAAATTTCAAATTTGACGGCACACATTACAGGCAAGTGGATGGGGTGGCGATGGGCTCCATATTGGGTCCCATTTGGGCTGGTTTCTTTCTAAGTAAGCTAGAAAATGGACTCTTGGACAACCTTATCAGTAAGTATTTAATTGGTGGATGGTGACTAGCAGTGGAATCCAGGATGCGCATTCCGTCCTATTTGGGACTCTTCATTGGATGTACCTGCATTTCTCAGTGAGTGATGATGTTCCCACCGAGGCTCGAACCCAGCGCCCATAGTTTCCAACGCCAAAGCGTTATCCACTAGGCCACTTGGGCCACGAGAGCCACCTCTTGTGCAACAGGACCGAGCACTTCGGTCCAATCAATCGACGGGAAAAATCTAAAATTCAACTAAACGTTATCAGTAAGTTTTCATTTTATTGCCGGTATATGGATGACACCTTCATTCTTTATGATAATGATTCGGATAGGAGTACATTAATTACTGAATTCAGTGAAGCACATTCTGTATATATATGAAGTAAAAAGTTGAGTGAGTGACTTGATATGATTATGAGCAATAATTTGTGCGTGAAACGTCATCACTTAATATTACTGTATAACACTGCGTGGTTCAGCAAAATTAAATCTTATATATAATGGGGTTATACTCTACCACAGTGTCCAAGGTGTCCGAGCTTTATCTTCATACCTGTGGCGTTATTGTATATTGAACATCTACTTAGTAGAATTTCAAATACTGTTATGTGTTTCTGTTTTGAATGAATTCTATGAGAAAAATGTTGATAAACAACTCCATTTTAAAAACCAGTATCAGCCTATTTCTATCGCTCTGTCTCATGCTTGGTCCGGATGCAAGGATATATAGAAGTGCCACTGTATATTTGGACTGTTCAGCGTTCTCACAGCCGACAAAATATGAAAGTTATTTGCTTTCGGAGGGTGATGGATTAGTTTTGGATTGCAATGTTTGCGCTCAATGTTTTAGTGATATCAAAATGTGTAAGGCAGGTGAAAGTTATGGAGACTGGTTCATTCAGAGGGGAAGACTGGGTAGCGGACAAGGTGATCTTAAAGGATATGTAAAACCAAACCCTGTTTCAGCAGAATATATACGTCTGCGGTATGTTTCATCAGATTTCCTTGCCTGTCTTATCTTTTCTTGAATGAACAGGTTAAGCGGGAAAACACCGATTTTTCTGGGAATGGAATCTAAGAAATAATATCAGAGGGAGAGAACCAGTTCTCCACGGCGGCATAGTTTATCCTACACCTCTGAACCATGCTTCTGTGTTGTCTGAGATGACGTCGGAAAGGTAAAAGAGTGAAAATAGAATCTTTAATCGTTTCTCAGAATTTTGGACATTCTATGCAATGTATACATACTTACAATGTGAAGATCTAGTTATAACTAGATCTCCACCGTGCTTACGGTATAATAAGGAGAGATGGAGGGAACTGTCAAGCTTTTAGACGTATGATAAATTAATTACACTAGGAATCAAACTTATTGCCTTTCTTTAAAATCCTCCTGGAATATATACGTCCCTATTGAGACAAGAGCTATGTGGTTGTAATTTTCTAGTTTTCACCAGACCATAGATAAAAACATTCCAATGATAACTCTAGTAAGGGTCTTGAGTGTCATCTACAGGCAGCTGAAGCTGTTGATTGCCACTGCCTGACAGTGCACTGCTTTTTTAGGTAGTGAACTACTATTAGATAGGTCTATAATAAAGGGGATAGTATTACCCTTATTTCATATGCGCTGACATCTGCGTGCCCGATGAGCATGAGTATACATTTCGGACAAGTCTAAGTATTCTCTTCAATGTTAGCATAATGCTACCATATTTGACCTGTCCCTAAATGTTCAGTCGTCTGCACAGAGAATCATAAAGGTTCCATGAGCCCAGACAATATGTTGACAGACAGAGTCAGGTAAAGATTGGCGCTTGTATTACCTTGTGGCACACCAATACGTGCCAACGTCTAAGAATAAGGTTTCTAGTTGACACTGACCCTGTCTCGTACATACAAGTATTTCTTTATTTTAATTGAGAAGGTCACCCTTGACTCAAAAGCTTTCCAATTTCATGAGGAACTCAGTGTGAGGCATTCTGTCAAGAGCTCTTCCGGAATGAATGAGCGAAGTGCTGATGGTTTTCCCTTTGTCTATGGATTTCAACCATCTGACTTTGTTGTGAGGTCTGTAAGAAGTGAAAGGCTTCCTAGAAAGCTGTGATGTGTGATGTGTAATAAATTGTTATTTTCCAAATATGTCATGATAGTTTTCTTGACTATTCCTTGCAGTAACTTGTTCAGAGTGATAATAAGAATAAAATGCTTGTGATTCGACGGAACATCCCTATATTCCGCCCTATGGAATTACTGTTGCATCCTTCTGGTGTTATATATATATATATTCACATTATCAGTGAAGTGCGCGTGAGTGAAAACATGTATGTCGTCTCCTCACTGCCATATACGGTAAGGAATATGGTCCAGTCACCACAATCACTAAAGTCATCTGTGATATTAGGTGGGCTTGTCTTAATCCTGTCTTCACTCTAAAAGCTTGATCAGTCCACTGTTTTATTTGTTTCTCTTCCTTGGCAATCAGGTTCCCGTGAACATCTCTTATCAGTTTCACTATCTGGCTTGATCTCTTCCCCGAAAGAGACCTGATTATCTGATATAATGTTCTAGGGTGTCCTTTACCTACAGCCTGTTCTGCTTCATTTGTCAGCCAGCGTGTCGCAGAATTTTCTTTTGGCTCTTCAAGCACTCTTCTTCACTTCTTTATTCATTGCAGTTTACATTGCTGTGAACTCATTTTCTGCTTCTGTTGCCTATCTTTAGACTGAGTCATCTTCTCCTTCACCATCCTCCTCTCCTCAATTGGCTTCCAAGTACGTATCCATTGACAGCCATTCCATGTCTTGTCTTTTCTTTCTTCATAGAGCAATTTTACACGTTTTCTTGAATACACCTTCAGAGAGTACCAGTGTTCTTCCCCACATATTTCCCCAGTGATACCACGTGGCGCTTCTTACTTTGCTCTGATCTGATCTGTACTGAAGTTATCGCTTGTAGTTTTGTCCTCCAGTCTCTGAGTGCTGAACTTGAATTGTTTCCTGTCTCCGGTTGTTTTAGAGGATTTCAATTTCACCTTGAAGGTTACTTGAACTAGATGATGGTCTAAGCCCACATCTGGTCACCCTCTCGACTTTGCGTCCAGATGGCTGCGTCTCCATTTCCTTGAGTAATGTTGAGATGAAATCTATCTGGTTTGCGGTTTGTCTAGAGTGTCCAGAGCAATAAATTGCGCTCGAAACGTCATCAGTAAATATTAATGTATAACATTGTGAGACTTTATCAAAATAAATTTTACTCACGATGAAATTATAGTCCGCCACAGTGCACAATTTATATTCTTATATCAATGAAATCCATTTTGCTTTGTGTATATCCTTGTGCCCGTACACGCTGCCTCCAAATCAATGAAACAGCAGAAGTCTGCGAATAATTCTCTGTTCTCGTTCATTTCTCCAAGAGCCTTTCGACCTATGAAGAGTTCTCTTCCTGTATTATCTGCTCCCAGGTCGGCTGGCATTCATATCACCCATAAGGATTTTGATGTCGCCATTTGGAATTCTGTCCATTAATGTTTATAGTTGTCTGTAAAAATCTTCATTCTTCTCTTGTTCTGCGTTGTTTGTAGCGTTGTTCGTAGCATTGGATAATTGTAATCTTGCTTCCTTCTGATTTAAATCCTGCTGTCATAATCCTGCAGGAGGAGACTGGTTCCCACTGCATTAGGGTTCTAGCTGCTACTGGTGACATCATGATAGCCACTCACTGCCTCAGTGTGCTGGTGGTTGTAGTGTGGGTGGACGGAGTAGGTTAAAGACTCTCCACTTGACAATTTCGGCAGTCCACATTCATGTTCTCGCAGATACTCAGCATTTCCACACCATATCTTCGCATTTCTTTGGCAACATGGGCAGCCTTGACAGCCTCGTACATTATACACATATCCCACGTCCTCATTCCTATTCCTTCTTTCATCGAGAGGAGACACATCAGCTGGATGACTGGCTTCCCGAAGGCCTTCACCAGCCAGTAGTGTCATTTCGCCTCTCCGGTTAGAGCAAAGAATACGTTTTTTATTAAATACTTTGTGCTTTAATTATATTTTTTTGTGTGCTGAAGTTTCTCTAGAAGTTTGGTAGGTTTTGTTGAGTAGAGTCGCTAGCCCTCCGCCCAACCCTGCCTCTTTACTCAGGCTTGGGGCCGGCTAGAAAACTAGCAAACTAGTTAACTGAAGGAGGTTAATCGGTTGTCTTAAGCAACAGCAAATATGTGAAATAAACTCTCTTCACTCTTCGAAATATTACACGATAGCAGGTTATAAAATCTTAATAAACATCAACTTATTAGACTATAGTAATCTTAAGATTTATTAAAAGAGTTGTACGTATTGACATAGAAAGAAATTCTCATTTGATTATGATTGCTGAATTAAGTGCGAAATGAAATTTTCCTCCACATGCCCAAAACATAGACCAACAATGCTTAATGTAAATATGAAACGTCATTAATGAGACTGTATTGCTTTAAGTCTGTACAAATCTGTTACTTATGATAAAAAAAGAATAAGAGAGAGCAAATAAACATGAAATGTTGGTTCTGTGGGGACTTGATTGATTCCCATTTTTATCATGAATTGACTTCAGTTAGAGATTCATTGAAAACTATGGAGTGCTGGACAGCTATTTCTCCCTCTTCTGTGACACGTGACGAAACAGCTATCCCGTACTTCCTGGTTTACAGTGGTTCTCTAATTGGAATAAATTCGTGATCAAAACTGATAAGAATAGACGCCATAAAGACATCACTGTATTTCATGTAGTTTTCCTATGATGAATAACTCATTTTCAAGATATAACTATTATTATTATAATGGGTTGTCGTGTGTAACTATTACTCGGACGTGTTTTTATATTTTCCGTAGATTACGTAAAAGGATCTGGCAAAATCTGTCTACAGTTGCGAGTGCACTTCCCTTATTATATGGAAATTCACAATTCCAAACAGAGAACATTTCAGAAGCTGAGTCAGAAGTACGAAAACCGTTATCCTTATATTTCACAGTCTCTAAGCCTGGTCAACCTCTTGATGTAATAAAAACAGAAAAAAGAAAACTATTAGGCAAGACACGTACTCATATTGATAAGGATACTTTTTACATAAGACGTGCAAAATTCGATGATACTGGAGTCTATAAATGTTTATTTAAAGGAAAAGAATTAAGAGTATGGGCTGTAACAGTCTTGAAACCCGGTGATGAACCATTTAGAAACATCTTCTTACCTTTAGAAAGAATAACGGAAAATTCCACAACTACACTGAATAATAGTATAACTACTGACAGTAGCTTACAACCGTTAGCAACACAGTTTTTGGTTAGTAATAACTTAAAGCTACTTACACAATGGTCTTCGTGGTCTGACTGTATTCCCTGTACTCCAAAAGAATACTTGAACTCATTATCAGAGTCAAAGATAAGTGGTATTCAAATAAAAGTTGGTATTTGTCATGTCGCCCCTATTGATCGGTCATATGCAATTCAACCACACATGTTGGCTATTGAAACAGGTGAGACCTTGAACTTGTACAATGATCCAGGTTTACCCTGCCGATCTCATTTAATCAGAGATTCTTTGTTGAAATATGGTCCAATGGAATTTCATAAAAGACCGAGTGAACTGAAGATCAGACGGTGTATACAAACATGTTCAGGTGAAGAGTAAGTGACTGCATTAAGTCTATTACCACCTTCATTGGCAAATAAAATCTATTCTGTTTTATTATACAAGGTATCAAACGTCTTTTTTATTAGTTCGAACACTTATACTAACTCACCCTTCAGGTAGGTGAGCTATAATGAAAGCATTCTATCTGTGTGGTGCATCACAAAAGGCCGAAAACTGGTCAACTAAGAGTCAGTTAGAAAGTGATTACATTTGTTGACAACTGAGTAGCTATACTAAAGTGTTATCATTTGATCACTCTGTTGTTGTAGCGTCTCTGTATGATGAAGTCTTGTAGTTTAATACTAAACAGATATAGAATGCTAAAAATTCCAATGGGCCATTTGACAACACTAGACATTCCCAGTATGACTTTTTTATTACTGATATTCATGATTGATTTCAGGTTTATTAGTCACTCTAAACCTAAGTGCGTGCGTGAAACAAATGGCTGGTCAGAGTCTTAGTATTGTGTCTCACTTTCTTAAAATCCGATTCATCAGAACTGATAAGTTCTCAACTTATTTCATTATCATAAATTTTCAATGATTTAAATTAAATTTTTGTATAAATAATTCCATTCAAGTGCAATAATAATGTTCAATGAAGAAAAGATTTCGAAACACACTAAAATAAACAACAAAGTGATAAGTTAAGTAAGGAAAAGTTATTTTACAAGTCTACATTTCATTTAGGCTAATAGCCTATGCCGAACATAACCAAGCCATGAGAAAATAACTGACTATTAAATTAAATGATTATAAGTTGAGTAGGATATGTAAGAGGGAAGATAAAAATAATCTCAAGGTGTTTGTGTGCGTAGTATATTAAAAGGCATAACAGATAATCCAGCTGTTTTAAAAATCAATAAAACAACTTCAAAAACGAGTAAGGACATAAATAAGCTTACTCCCCTTTCATTTTCGCCTCCATGATACGACAGAACAGAGGTGGTCAATTACAATTTGAATTTCCTCTGGTAGCTGGTGTTGTGCATCGACTTATGCAACTTCCTGTTTGGTATTTAAAAGTATTCTGTAATAATTTCAAATGTTACATTTCGGTGTTTCAAAGGCATTTTATAGGTATTTAGCATAGCTGAAATATTTGCTGAACAGTTTACAATACTGTGCACAAAAACACCTTAATATATTACCTTTATCCTCATGCGAAGCCGTGGTAATCAGTTCGCCTTCAACTCTTCAACATATTTACTATTAATGAGTAAAACAGAAGACGTGTCCAGCATTCATTGATTTCTGATAGTTCATTAAGTGATACTAATTTATGCGTACAAGCGTTTGTAGGTAAGCTAAAAATATGATATGTTCATCTGAAAGATATGATAGATTATGTACCGTTTATTATCGACTAATTAGTCACATTTTAAGAAGTAATACATCCAACGAGTAAAACAGTCATTTTATATACAATCTCATTATAATTAATCAAAAATGCTCATAAGAAATATCAAAAGACTGATCATTGAACAAATCAGTCATTATAATTGCTAAACAATCCGGTATAATACTGTTAACTGATCATTTTGGAAGTGATTTTTATTATTTGAAGTCACAGTAATATTTGATATATATATACATATATATATATATAATCATTGTTTTTATACACTTGAACACATTATTCTTTCATTCTACCAGACCAGTAAATATTAATCAATTAGTACCGATATATGATAAAAGACATCCTCTGAAAACTAGATAGCTGTTTCGTTTCATCTTTGAGCTACTCATCAGTGCACATTCGTGATTTAGAAATTAAATTTGACTTCGAACCAATTGAACTACCCCTAAATCTGACACTTAAATGTCATAAGCAATCAGCGACGGGTTCGTATTCTTAAAGTTTACAAATGATGTTCGACGACTTTGCTTGTGTATAATTAACCAAAACAAGTTGAAAATCGCGCTCGTTATCTGATTTCATTTAAGTGACAACAAATTCACCTTGTTACGTGACAGCCATGGATCATATTTCTGCAGGTAATCCCAACAGTTTCCTATCGAGAAGACTGAGATTAAAGCAGAGTAACTGTTAAGCGCTCACTGATTTTCATGATAAAATCAGCCTGGTTATTTAAGTGACTTTTCCCTAAGTGTTATCAGTTTATTATAATTAAATAATATAATTTGAATTATTTAATATGTTTATGGGACAAAATATCAAAAATTTTTATTCACTTATTTATTTACTTATGTACTTTATTTTATTTTCCTAGAAAAAATGTTGCCTCATTTACATCAGTTCTCAGTAGAGTGCAACGTTATCCTAAACACGTTACTATGCGAGTAAATGAAGGTGAACGATTGGTTATCACATGTCCAGTTAGAAATTCACCAGAAAAGCCAATAACATGGTTTTATGCACCAGAGAATACTGAAGAATTAATGGAATTAACTAAAACAGCCTATAATTTAAGTATTATTCGCCAATATGGATCGTCTACGCGTTATTTAGCTACAAAATTGAAACAAATTGATTTTACGACATTAATAAAAGAAACACGCGGACGATATAAACTCGACTCAGCCTTTAATATTATTGTAGCTGAAACAGTATCCATAAGAAATGAGAAATACAAAGGTTTACACCATTTAATCTGTGTACATGGCGATGCCTGTGCAGTACGTTATGATAACAATAAGAATAACAGTGATGACTTGATTACGAATAATAACGACATTTATGGTGAATGGTCATGTATTATTCATATTGATACAATACCACGAAGTGGTTTTGTAATTTTTCTGTCGAAATTAACACCAGTTGTTCAGTTGTTAATACCGTTTATCCTGGCATTAGGTTTATTCTTTATTGTCATTCTTACATTATACACTGAAAGAAAACCGAAAATGCGCCTAGCTGCCAATGGTATGATAATTAAATAATCATATAAAATATAAAGGAATGTCGTCTGTTAAATTCTTTTCAGTTAAACAATTCGAACATCTTTTTATTCAAGTTATAATGGTTTTGGTTTCATTTCCATCTGTTTTATGATTAATATTTCAATAGTAGTTGTTGGTCGTTTTTGACCTGGTCCCCTTTTTGTCTGTTTGTCTATCTCTCTCTCTCTCCTGTAAATTTCAAATGCTTTCCTTTAAATCACTTTATATCTATTCCCTGTCGAAAAATGTAACATTAGTTATATGTGTAGGTGTTAACTTCTATCATGGTGGCGACAATAAGGAATTAGAAACAATCAAAATGAGAAGACGAAGACAGAGGGACAGAGGAAAGGATGTACGAACACTGAGAAAGATATGATCAGTTAAAATAGACCTTATTACTGTATGAATACTGATAAGAAATTACTTTATTTCATATAATTTTAATCATAAAAAAGCGGAGGAGCGTTACACGTCTACGGCAATACGAATTATTAGTTAAATAATCATCTATCTATCTCTCTCCCTATATATATATATATGTATATATATATATATAAGTTTACTAAACAAGTGAAGCAATTTTTAAAACCTACGGACATAAATTCACTTCTGGTTTTCCTCCAAACTGAAAATAAAAGCTACATATGAATTCCAAGTGTTTTTTAAATTCATTTAGCATAGTACACCATGATACTAAAACTAACTGTATTTTCGGAGAAGTTTGCACAAAAGTCTAGCAGCTGAGCTTGTTAAATCCCTCCGAATGTCAGATTGTTAATTTCACTTTCATACACAAATGGGATATACATGATTCTTGCATCATTGGGGGCACTGAAGTTGAAACTAAGTCGAATGTGAAATACCTTGGATTATGTCTTAACTCTGATGTTTCCTAGTTTTCCCATATTGTGTTAATTTCTACAAAGTTATTTCCTCTAACCTTTTACGTGGTATCACTCAGTCAGTCTCCACGTCTACAGTTTCTTAATCCATCTTTATTTCGCTCATTTATCTATCCTGAGCTACTTGAGAAATAGTCTTTTACATTATGAAGGGCACTAGAAGCTGGCGGTAAGATGAGTGGGATACCGTTAAACCAACTTGGTAAGACTCTTGTGGACTTATGATAGAAATTGGAGAATATCGCCTTGTCGTACTGTGAACATCCTCTTTAGTCACAATTCTCTTCTTGCGTCTCATCAGGTAGGACTAGAAGCAGTTATAAAAGACTTAATGTTCGGACGAATAAGTATAAAAGCTCTACGATACATTATTCATTTCATGAATCGAGAAGATCATACGGGGGTGAATGAATTCGCATCATTGAGAATGAATTTGAATCATGTCACCAACAGTCGCCAACCGTTGGTGTTTAGCATGTTGAGGATAACAGGCAGACGTTTTCTAGTGAAGTACTGTGGTGATGTGATACGAACAATACGTTCTAACGGGATATGCTTCTCACATATTCCCACATTTCAATACAGTATTAGCAACAGAATACTATGTATATTTGAACATTCTATTTCACATAGTTCAATGTAAACAAAAATCACACACTCAGTGATTAGTTAGCAAATATAAACTGTATATATATAAACAGCGGTTTGATTAATGAAAAATATACCTTGGCTTCCGTGTCTTGTCTTAGTGTGTTACAGTACCGCCCAAATCTGAATTAAGTCCTCATATATTACAGGAACCTCATTGAATTTAGAAATTAATGTGGTTTTTGACTGAAAGATTAGTAAATATAGATAAATGGGTTGTTCACGAAAGAAATGATTAGTTTTTCGAGCAAACAAACTTTATCATCAGTTTATTTAATTCACTAGAAAATATTCACACCTGGTTTGCACATACTCAGAGTCATTTTATAACACGAACTTTCAGTTAAATCTCAAGTTCAAGTGGTTTACTTATAAAGCAATTTAAGAAGAAAATCAGTCATAACTTAGCAAAAGATTCTTTCCTAAAGCAACATATCTGAAAGCAAAATTTAAGACACCATGTGACAGAGTTTTGACAACTGAATTATTTTAACGCCTTGTTTTTCTTTTGTTACCCTGTATTCTATGAGATTCAATAAAGTGCTTATACTGCCACATATGTTACTGTCTTTTTCATTTCTTCATTCCTGTTGATTTTATTCAGTTAGATAGTTTTGAAATGCCCTAACCTTTATCTGTAAAAAATAATTACTTTCCTTCCAGTTGTCTGGGTTTTAAACCTTAATTGTTTAGAGAAAAACTACAGATAACGTAAAACATTTCCAACCGGCGAGCATCATCCAGCGGTCTGGCAAGTCTTCTTTATAACTGTGTGCAACAATCCAGTTCGGTGACCCTATGTAGTCAATGATAGAGGTAATTCTTCTGCAGGAGACGAGAGAATTTAAGACTCTTCAATAATGTATAGATAAACCTGTTGTCTCGTTCATGAAAGCTTTTCAGTGAAGTCTTTACCAAAGTCACTGCTTGAAAGCACTTATATGTTCAGTGATTGCTTACTATTTTGTAACTCAACCGCTAAATTCCATTGTGGGTAAAATTTATTTTGATGAAGTCTCACAGTGTTATACAGTAATATTCACTAATGACGTTTCGAGCACAATTTATTGTTCATACTGATATCAAGTTTTATTCTCATACCAACTGCTAAAGTCTGCATCTTGAAAGTCAAATTGTCACTCTAAATTTAAATCACAAAAATATAAGTCTGTTTCACCTTTCAAACTTTAAATACCTAATATCTGGGAAAGATACTTATCTCTTAGGAACATTCACCTTCTTTATTTTAAAGACTAAAGTTAATTCCTGGATGACGAAACTGTTAGGAAGTGTCTTGAATTATCAGACTACTATTATCAGAAATGACGCATAGATGGTTCAGTGGTCGAATGCTCGCTGACTACAGGCTCGGTCTGGATTCAGTTCTCGGCCGACCTGGTTCTCAAACTTACTTATAAGTCCAGTGAAAAATTTAACTCAGTCTCGTAAAATAAAGCCATCGCTGATAAAACTTCAGAGCTAAAGCCTCAAGCAGTATGTTCCATTTGGAAGGCAAAGAAATGGAAAACAAAAATTAACGTGAATTATGGTGAATGAAGGTAAGATGAAAAAATCTGGATGATGTCAGCAATTGAACAACAGGCTTTTGGATTACGAAAAAATGTTTTTTTTTTCTAACAGAAAACAGAAATGTATGTGACAATAATTCAAAATATATTTATTCATATTATTTACATTTTACACACGCTTTATGTATGTTAAAAAGGAAGAGCAATGCACTTTACTATAAAATATTATTGAATAGGTCCTTCTTTAAAATAGATATTATTCAAGTAAATAAATAATCAGCGTAAATTCAAAATTCTGCATCTTCATAGTATTTCTGTATATCACGCATTGCTGCTAGACCAACAGAATGTTTATTTTCAGTCTCTGTATCCATAGCCAAACCAAATATGCACACTAGGAAAAAGTAACAAATTGTAAATATCAGCTAACTGACTAATAAAAGCGTTAAATATATAGTTTCGTCTTCAAGTGTTGGTTTTCAACGATATAGAGGATTTCAGGTTAGATTTAATCACTAATCAGCATCGGTTAGATAACATTTAAAAGCTAGGTAATTCTGATGATATTCCCTGACGACATACAAGCTAATTGGAAGGAGTTATAATTATTGATGAGCAGTCGGATTCCATCCAAGTGGTTGAATGGACACCATGGTCACCTCGTAAACTGAAGGTCCTGGGTTCGATTCCCACTGTGTACTGATGAAGAGCATCAAACTGGGATGAAACGAACGTTAACTGCTCTCCGGCTTTAAATTGTTCTCCGACTTATGTGTGTTCGTGATAAAATATAACCTAAAAATCATTTATATCCGTACAAACCATCACTTGAAAATTATTATTTAACTAGGATGGTAAAAAAGAGATATTGTTACATTCTGATTAAGGATTAAAATAATTAACAATATAAAACTGAATAAGAATTTACACTATGCACTCTGAGTCTGATATGTGCATGAAATTAGTTCTTGTCATCTAAAACACTCTTTGTGATAGTTAACGTGAAAAGCTTACTTGAAAGAGGTCACTTCCTTCATTTATCCAGGAAGCATCATTTCAACTACAGGCAGAGGTACATATGAGGTTGGCAGAACAACAATCAGAAAGGCAAGGCACGCCTTTATCACTCTGAAATCAGTTTGAAAGTCTTCTGCACTTAGCATGAAGAAACAAATTTTGATTCTCAGCAGAAGTGTTAATTTACTCAGTGCTTCCATATGCGTCAGGAACTTAGCCAGCACTCGACAGAAAGGATTTCTAACAAGTTACAGATTTTTATCAACAGCTCCCTTCACTCCATACTGAGGACCAAATGGCCAACCAGAAAGAGTTACCTACAAGAAACCCTGGGAACAAACCAACCAAGGATCGATTTTAAAAACAAATATCCCGAAGATAATGGGATGGATTGGGCACACGATGAGGAGACCATCTAGTGATATCGCGCCAGGCCATAGCTCAAGTGGAACCCGAATAGGAAACGACGAGTTGGGCGTCCGAGGGTGACACAGAGGATATCGTAAGAGGAGGAGACGAGAGTTTATAGGCAATCGCAGACCCAACTGAAGAGGACTGCAGAGAATAGGACAAAGCAGAGAGGTGCTGCTGAGGCTCTATTTTCCACATAAATAATGATATAGTAATCAAGATATATGTCATCAACACTAATAGTCTAAATACTAATTAAGTTACTCGAGAAATTCATTAAAAGTACTGTTTTGCAGTAAAATTAGCACTGAAGATGTTGCTTAAAGTGATCTTGGAAGCTTCATAATCAAATCATTCGAATAAGGTGGTAGAAAAACAAAAGTTGTTTCAATGAATTATGTTAGAAATTTTTTATCAGATATGTACGTATTCGGCAAATGAGATGTCCTCTAAATGTGTTGTAAGCAAGCATATTAGTTAATGAACATTCTATAATTAATTGCTTGACAGTTTATATACCAACTATGTAATAATCATTTAATCATACTCATGATTTCCACTTGTTATATCTAGGCCCAACTGAGAATTCTAATTTTGGACTATAAGGTCCCTGAATCAAATTCACAATGTACAAATTATTTGGCATTTTGCAATGTACATAGTTCACGGGGTGAAATATTCACCACAACATCTTTCGGAAGCCAAACTGTTCATATCTCAATATATGTGACCTGCTTGATACCAGAAATGATAATTTAGAAAGCAAGTGTATTTGCATATAAAACTATATACTACTGGTTGATATCAGTGGTATGAAACTACTCATCTCAATCAATCAGTAGTATGTAGTTTTATACAAAGTTTTCTGAATGGATGCTAAGATATTATCATGATCACTAGCTCAGAGTTACTTGTTCCTCATAGCTCAGTAACCTGTTAGATAGCGCTCTAGCGTTTGAAATGATGTGTGCTGGATTATAGTCGCAAAAGGAAACATCCCCATTCACTTGGGTGTACGTGGAAGACGAAATGCGATTCCAGGATTCTACTGTTAGCCACCATCAAACGAATAACTTCGAGTTATTCATCATTTGATTATCGGTTAGTTTTGTTTCAGTGATTTGATTTATTACCTGGATGAGATGTGAAGTTACTTCTGTAGAATTAACACACAATAAATGCATTCACTCATAAGTGCTTCTGAAAGCTGGAAAAGCAGCTGGACCAGATGGAATACCCCCGGAAGCACTGAAAGCGGACCCAGAGACGACAGCAGATATGCTGACTCCATTATTGCGAAAGGTCTGGAAGGAGGGAAAGGTGCCTACTGACTGAAAGAAAGGTTACCTTGTGAAACTACCAAATAAGGGCGACTTAGGCCCCATTCTGCAAGAACTGGCGAGGAACCATTCTCCTGTCGACGCCAAGTAAAGTTGAGTCGCATCATCCTAGAGAGAATAAAGGACTCACTGGATACAGAACTCCGACCAGAACAAGCTGGATTCAGGAAAGGTAAATCATGTTCTGACCAAATTGCAACTCTACACATCATCATCGAACAAAGCATGGAATGGCAATCAAACCTCTACCTCAACTTTATAGACTTTGAGAAGGCCTTCGACAGCGTTGACCGCGAAGTAATTTGGAAACTACTCAAGTACTACGGCAACCAACAACAACAACGGCAGCAACATCCAGCGCCAATCACCATCAACGGGAGGGATTCGAAAGAGGTTACTTCATTCACTTATCTAGGGAGCATTGTCTCAACTACAGGAGGAACGGACGAGGATGCCAAATCGAGAATCGGGAAGGCGAGAAATACATTCATCAACCTGAAACCAATCTGGAAATCTTCGTCACTCAGCATCAACAACAAAATTCGGATTTTCAATACAAACGTCAAGTTAGTCAGTTCTTCTATACGGATCAGAAACTTGGCGGGTCACAAAGAATATTTCCAACAGCCTGTTGCAGACATTTATCAACAACTGTCTTCATTCTATACTCAAGATCGGATGGCCGGAAAGAATCACCAACAAGAAACTATGGAACAGACAAAACAAGAACCAATCACCCAACAAATATGCAGGAGAAAGTGGAGATGGATTGGACACTAGCTGGGTGACATCGCGCGTCAGGCCATAGCTCGAGTGGAACCCGAAAGGGAAGTGGTGAGTGGGACGTCCAAGGGTGACATGGAGGAGATCGTGTGAAAAGGAGTTGAAACAGTATGGACTAACATGGATGCAAGTGAAAAGTACAGCAGAAGACAGAAGGAAGTGGAGACGTGCAGTTGAAGCCCTATGTTCCACTAGGAACCCAAGGGAACAATAATAATAATACAATAATAATATAATTTGTTTATCAACATGAAAGAGAAATGTATAATAAATATCCTTTTTAACAGTAAAGTTTAGCAGAAAAATCAATCTATGACTGAATGTCATTAGAAACACTCTAAATAGGAAACCAGAAACTTACATGTTTTTGTCAGTTCAACAAATAAACTCTTTTTACCAGATTTAGCTGATAACATTTCACTGTTAGCATCAACTACTACAAAACGATCATTCAAGAAATCAATGGTTGGCTTTTGTGTACCACTGATTTTAGCCATGACAAGACGTATAGCGCGAACTTGATTTGTGCTTAAATTGGTAATATTCTAGTAAACAGGTAAGTGCAAATAATTCAGAGCAATCGGTTAATAACGTTACCAATAAAAGAATAGAATTGCAACAAATATGATAACTGGTTTGTTTTGATTAAGGCGTACAAAAGACGGTGGAAACAGTTATCCAGTGTTGTACGGTTTTCATTACTGTTCTAGTTAATATTAGTTTTTGCTACACGCTAGTCTATGATCATTATATCAAGTATATCACGTGGATGTGCGCAGTAAGTAATCAGAATATATTAGGCGGAAATAAGTTTGGCTGCTCACCCTCTACCTTGTTTGTAACAGCTTTATTTCATTCACATTAAAAGAGAGGGGAGGTTTATTGGCCACTCACAAATCCATAAACAGCAAGTTATGTGTGATGTAGATATGAGGTGTGATACTTTTGATCAGTCAAATCACTAAACGTACATCAGAACTTAAAATCATAATCTGTCTGTTGAAACTCCAATGAAATATAGCTGCTGAGAGACTTGGAAACTTTACACATCACCCTCATCTGGGTGATGGCAAACAGCAGGAGAATTCACAACTAACATCTTCCTCCACTTGGAACTTGTCAGCTGGATGTATCTACATCCTCCGAGAGTGATAATGTTCCTGCAGGAACTCAAATCTAGCACTCATCGTGCAAACACCACAAAAAATAGTCACATCAAATACATACAATACTATTCCACTCTTTTGTAAGATGTCTAGATTTTTCTAAATGATTTCTGAACCTTATGTGTGTATTTGCATAAATGACAGTGCTTTTTTGTTAACTAGGAGCATTAATTAACAGCTTAACAGATGTTCTGCGAAAATTCTTGAGAAGCTATTTGGGTTAGTAACACAGTGTTCACTATTCCGAATGAATGTCACTTGATTCAGTTAATCGTCCATTGATATGATCGCACTAGTTTGACCAACATTATCTGTTACTGGTTTACTGGTATAAATGAATTTTGCATTCGAAAGTTCTTTAGCGGCGTGATCCTCTACCAAACGTTTTACTGGTGATTTTTGTTTATTGCAGCCATGCACACTTTTAGTACGGAATCACACAATTTTCATAGCTTTACCAGAATGGTGAACGACTAGTTGGGCGTTTGAGGATGACATTGAAGAGATCGTGTGAGGAGGAGATGAAAGCTTAAGCGCAGTCATGGAGCCGGGTAAAGAGAAATGAAGAGTACAGAGTGAAATGGAACTGAAGCTCGATGTTACACTCGTTATCCGAAGGAATAATACTGATAACATCTGGTACATTAACACACGCATGAAACTTTATTCACATAAACAAGTATACTGACTTTTTGTTACCGATATAAAAGATACTAGCTTTTAAGTGGAAAAATAGGCTATTCACAGGGGATAGGTCTTCAAGGGTATCGAACAGTTTAAATAAAGCACTGTCTTAAATGATTATTGTCATTAAGGTCACCATCGTAACAAACAACCAATGGTTCAGTTATCAGTTACTCTGTGAATTCGTTAGTATCACACTTTAATAATGAAAAAGCTTTATTTTTGCAGATACCATCAGAAAAATGTTGGTCAAATACCACATTGTTATACTGTAGTGAAATCAGTAAATAAAACGATATTGTCAAATATGTTTTACTTCTTCTGGTTGTAGACAGTAATCAATTCCACTCATGCATATAAATGAAGTAAAAAGTTGTGTGAGTGACTTGATATGATTATGAGCAATAGTTTGTGCTCGAAACGTGGTCGCATCAGTTAATATTACTTTATAACACTGTGTGAGTTAACAAAACAAAATCTTATCTATAATGGAGTTATACTCTACCACAGTGCCCTAGTTTTATACTTATATCAATAAGGTAGATATTTTCTTATTCGTAAAGTATTATTTATCTATGTTACTGTCTTCTACTTTAAAGTAAGACAATGAGGCAGATGGAAATAAGAGACAGTTATTCCTTGGAATGAGCTGAAGGGAGAAATTTCCTTTCATCAATGACTTTTCCAACAATTTGCCTTATTTTCTTGTGAAAAAGGCTGCTGAAAATATTAACGAATTTGAAACTCAATTCATAGAAAGCTGCCAAAGTTGTGAAAAGTACTATATTTCGTCAGAATCTAAGGCAGAATTTTCCCAAGCATTTAAACTTTTTTTGAAATATTCATGGAGAGGTCAGTGGTTCATATATCCACTATCATGGTAGATTACATAAGTGCATCTATCTTGCAAATGAAGGCGAAATTGTCAGAAAATATTCGCGGATAATTAACGCATTTCAAAGATTTTAGAGATGTTACCTGACTACAAGTGTTAGTATTAGACTAGCTAATGATGTAGAAGCTTGAAGGTAATCTAGGTCTATGTGAATACATACCCAAGACCATAAAGTTAACCACCTTAGTCATGATGTTAGCCCATCACTCATAAAGTGCCGTGTGACGTTTTGTAATTTACCTAAGTAACGGAACAGCGTCTGTCAGCGACGCTTAAATTACACATGCTATGACTACTTATCTTTGGTATCGCATTATTACAAATGGTTTTAAAGTTAATACAGTGTAATATTGGTGAAACAGAAATAAGTCACTTTAAGAAGCTGCAGCAAATAAAGTTGTTTGCATACTTAATAAAATAAAATAAATAATACTAACCGCAAATTCTGGGATTTTAAATGCACTGCCAAGCACACGGCTTCCGTGATCACAAACACAAAGGGCGTCTAGCTTGCAATAAACTTCGAGTAATGCACGACATTGTTCACTCCATGCACTGTATGGGACATGTACTGTCATAACAGTTTTAGTACCTGAAATAGAAAAAGCATCAATCGAAGATATGTAATTTAAGAGAATCATTCAACGTACTCATTATGATTAATCAGTAGTATATTTTATATCTCTAAGCTTTGGCCACAGCTGTGCCATCTCTTAACAGTTACTATAAAATTTTTTACCAATAAAGTTTTAAAAGATTAGGGATTTTTTAGCTTACCTTAAATGGCCCTGAAACGCTTTCTGGTCAATTAATCAATAAATGGATTTTCATGGAAAACTACATTACCGCAACTCGTATAAACTTTCCTTATTTTTATTGGACACTAGTCACTGACTAACCTTCAATCAAAGTATCCAATACGATCCTACGGGAGGTCATTTGCGAGCCCAAATAGCTCAGTGATAATATCTTCGACTGCAGCACTGGGTAACGTGTGTTATAATCTCATAAGCGATATGAGTTCCTTCAAGATTGTAGATACGCATTAATGACTGGCGAGTACCAACTAGCACGAAACCTAGGTGCAGTAAAGCTTCCTGCCAATTGCCTCCAACCATCTAATATCAAAATCCTTATTATATGCATGTTGTGTAGTTTGCAATGTGCTTGACTTAGGAAGACCAATTCATGTCATAGTTAGTAATATTGTAAACAGATACACTTTACTGAAACAGATATCAATCTCATTTCTAAGACATCTTGAACAATTCATGGAAGGTTTGGTATAAAGCGACATGGATAGAAAATCACTGGAAACCCGAAAGCTCTAAACACAAACCAAATCTGAATTCAGGACTCTTAAGTACTATATGATATTAACTGACTGAAAAATCGAACATCTTATTGCCACATTATTCGTAGACAAATTATCATCCAGATTCAGTCAATTTGCACTATGTTATAACTGAGTTATATCGGCTCCTAACAAAGTGATTAAGTAGTAACACCCTCATCATGAAATGTGACGATCAAGGGTTAAGTTATTTGTATTGTATGCACACAAACAACAAAGAGGTCAGAACTAGAATGTAGTGTTGACTTAGAGCTCTTTAAGTCCTAAATATTTTCTTATTAGTTTCTGTTTTGAATAGTGGTCACATTGAAGAAATAAATACAGAAGTTTGAATCCAATTAAACTATGTACACCTTTGAAATTCCAGTTGGTTTATTATTTATTTGATAGTGATTACAGCTTTTTGAAGGATTTAGGGAAGAAAATTAAACCACTTCTGATCGCGTTTCGGCTGTTTTGTAATGGTGCATATGTTTTAACGGGGATAATACAAAAAATATAGAAGACAGAAGGTTACTGACAGAATTCAGCAAGATAGACTTACAAATTCATGGATGATTAAGTATTTTAAACTTCTGGAAATGCATCAGAGAATGTTGATTGCATGAAACTTTATCATTACGAAGATATTGAAACATTAAAAGCCTTTTCATAAGGTTAGTTCACGCTTACAGACTAGATGTTAAGTGATCTATTTTGACCAATAAGTTATACCTATCTGCATTTTGAAGGTAAGCTAAATTCTGCAGAATTAATTTAACATCCCCACCAATTAGGTACTGTAGGTTTTGGAGCTATAGGTTGTCTGACTAACCTTTACTAAACTGCTTAGACTCCTAGACAAAAATATTATGCTACAAATGCATTCACAATTCATCTATTTAAGTGTAACAGAGTGAGTAGTTTCCTTAAGCACCATGTGCTATATATAAATCGGATGATGAAAACTTCTGTATATCACTCGTGGCTATTTGAAAAAAATAGACAGTAGAAGGCTCTAATTGACTAAGGCTTGTTTTTTTTTGCAGGTGGTTAAGAAGGCGTTTCCTTAACTTGATGCAGTTAACAGTTAGAAAATAAAAGTAAATTTAAAAGAATTTATTTCCTTCAGGAACTTGAACAAAAGACTGGAAAAAAATGCGAATGATCTAGACAGTCTGTTGAGTGTGTCTTCCCAGCATATTGGTAACAATTTGATCAGACACTTACTTTTCACAGAAAGCTTTGTGAGACATCTTAAGTAGCAAGAATTAAATTGACAGTAAGGCTAAAATGAAAGTAAAAAGAAGGATGAGAAAAAAGAACGCAACCAAAATCCCAAGTGTACGTACCAGATCTAATTATGATAAGAGTATTTAAAGTCTCGATAAACTTTGAAATACTAACTTAGCAAACACTCACATCCATTTTACACCCTGTTTTGATAATTTACCTAGCAACTGAGCTTCTAGGATATTTATTTCAGGCTAAGACAGGTTTAGAAGACTAATTATATTTTTGAAACCCTTTTTTGCTACACAAATATGAATGGAGATGTATTTAAGAGGGAGAAAATTTTATGTATTATTATAACTGTTCAATGATCAGTATAAATGTAACAAGTAGCCATTTTATTTTCTCAATGAGGCAGTTTTATTCTCTGATGTCAAATTAATATTCGTAGAAAGGTTATTACGGTAATCAGCATGCATACGAAATTTAATTGGTGGATGGTGACTAGCAGTGGAATCCAGGATGCGCATTTCGTCTTATTTGGGACTCGTCATATGGATGTACCTGAATTTCTCAGTGAGCGATAATGTTCCCACCGAGGCTCGAACCCAGTGCCCATAGTTTCAAAAACCAAAGCGTTATCCACTAGACCACTTGGGCCACGAGAGCTACCTCTTGTGCAACGGGTCATATTGATTCAATTGAATTTTAGATTTTCCCGTCGATTGATTGGACCGAAGTGCTCGGTCACAGGTTGACATGTCGGCTTCTTGAGCCGATGTTTCGACAATGTCTGGACATTCAATTAGTATTTAATTGGTGGATACTATGGGCACCGGGTTCGAGCCTCGATGGGAACATCATCACTCACTAAGGAATGCAGGCACATCCAGCTAACGAGTCCCAAATAGGACGAAATGAGCATCCTGGATTCCACTGCTAGTCACCAGCCACCAATTAAATACTAATTAAATGTTCAGACATCGTCGAAGCATCGGTTCAAGAAGCCGACATGTCAATCTGAGACCGAGCACTTCGGTCCAATCAGTCGACGGGAAAATCTAAAATTCAATTGAATTTATAGAAAATGTTCCACACAATTTTTAAAATTTCTATTCTGATGTTTTAATACGTAAATCTTTTAACGTCAGTTTGAGTATGATAAATATTTCACTAATACCAACTCTGCCTAGTTAAAATACAGTCTACTCACAACATTTTGAAAAGAGCATTTCTAAAAGTTTTAAGTGCTGATTACTGAATGAAGGATACTCTGTTTTATGACTTCTTCATCAGATCCTAAAGTCATAAATCCATAATAATTATCATTGATGATAAAAGTGTTTTCTAATAACATGGATTCAAAATGGGGTATAAATTGTATATTTGTGTGTCAGTGTATAGTTGGAAGTAGGGTGGACTAACTAAAGCTAAATTAAAGAGACGAAAGGTTTATTCTTAATAGTTGAAAGATACAATGCTGAATACATCCAAGTGAATTTCTACATTTTCTGATGTTTCCAGTATTTGGTACCTTGTGACTTGACAGTTTATCAGGTGCTTGATTGACGAAATCATCTGTTAACATGTACCTCTTCGATTTCTCAGTCTTAATGATTCGATGCAACACAAAGTAATTATGCTTTTTATAAAATTATAAAGTCGGTGCCTATATTCTATATCACTAATAGTATCAAGAGTATAGAGAAATTTATTTGTCTTCTTTTACTTTATGTGCAGTAGACAAACTTGATATGAGATCCAGCACAGGAAATAAAAGAACAGCAATATAAGGAGAAAAGTAATTAATAGCTATGGGACATCAGTATAAAAACATTTAAACATGCTTATGGTGAACATTTGAAAGAGCGTTCGTTATTTATTTAGATCTTAATTGTTTGCTACAAATTTTTCATGTGCCAGGCTGTCAGCTACATTTATCCTAGTAAGGCTAATGACACTGTCCATTTATCTGAGATGAATGAAACAGTTTGAGTGAGATGCAAAACTCAAGGCAAGCGGCTGAAAACTGGATGATTACAGTAAGGAGCCGTAACTTCACTGTGACATTAGCTACTTTGTAATACTCTCAGAAATAGAAATTACATCAGGCTCGCTAGTGATTTTGATCTTAGGCTATGTCTAATAATGTCCTAACCCACTGATTTGTATTATACCTGTTAACAAGTTAGTTTCTTATTGTATCCAGGATGAAGTTGAGCAGAAATGTTTGTTAATATTTATTTTAATCCTTAAAACATCTTTCTGAGCCTTTACATACATAAATTTTAATAAAAATTAGTTTTTATTGATGAAATCTGTGAAAAACCAAAGAATCGCACAGATACTAAAGTACTTTCTTCCAGTAGGTATTCATAGTTTAAATTAAGCCTACCCATGGGACAATTAAGATATGATGTCACAAAATGTCATTTTCCTGCGGAACCTTAGCCTAACTTTCTTTTCTGTTGACTCTTATCATAAAAGGACGCCTAAAATACTGCATTACCTGAGATTGGAATCTACTCCACTCAGTCCTGGTGCTGATTACTTATCACAACGCTATCTAGGTAGCACCCCTGTTGCACTCAGGTGTGAACGTAGATCAGTCTCTGAATGATAGCGAAAGCAGCTGTCTTAATCACCTTCAGAGGAATCTATTATTCAAGAGACAACATAAATGTTATTAATCATAAAATCTTGGTAGAGGATTTTCTACAAATCCCAGCGTGGCATACTGCATAACAATACCATGTGGCTGTTATTTTCACCTCAAAGCGTTTACCTAGTGAACAGTCTTCCTAATTCTATGTAACACCATTTAGCTCTAATAGTTAGCTAGAATTCATTTGGTTTGAATTGTTTCAGCTCGTCGTGATGAGTTAATCCACTCGGTAACTGGATCACATCAATCTGACCTGCAAGAATTACCATTTGATGCAGTCGACTTCCAGGTGCTAACATAAATCAGTAGTATACATCATCCTGCATGGAAAAAACCTAGTTAATCAC